ACTCTTCCGCATTCATATCTGACCATAACAAACACAGAGAAACATCTGTACCACGAAATATCCAAATAATAAACACATGATTACGATAGTATATGGTTTGTTTGTGATTTTCTTGAGATTTGGGGTATTTTCATAATAACAGGGCTCGCAAAATTTCTAAATCCCTGGTAGCCCTTTGGGCAGGCATTCTTCAGATTTTGGTAGCCCAAAAATTAATTTAACTAGCCCGAATAAAAGATATTGTACTTTTTCTTCAAATAACAAGTCAAGAGAGAGTAGGGGTGCAACGGATCACAAATCTCACGGTTCGGATTATATTACATTATCATATCACATTTTGAGTCACAGATCGGATCATTTTTCAGATGAGCAAAAAAAATATGCTTCTTTACTGTTTAAGTAACACTTATTATTTTAAGAACAATTTACTACTTCGATACCACAGCAAAAACTAGTAGCATATAGGGATGTAAGGATTTACTCAACTCACAATGTGATATGATTCACGATACTGATTTCACAATACAATTTTCTCACAATTTCTTTTTTTCCAGGGCTCGCAAAATTTCAAAATCCCTGGTAGCCCTTTGGGCAGGCATTCTTCAGATTTTGGTAGCCCAAAAATTAATTTAACTAGCCCGAATAAAAGATATTGTACTTTTTCTTCAAATAACAAGTCAAGAGAGAGTAGGGGTGCAACGGATCACAAATCTCACGGTTCGGATTATATTACATTATCATATCACATATCACATGATTACATTACCATATCACATATCACATGATTACATTATCATATCACATGATTACATTATCATATCACATATCACATGTTTACATTATCATATCACATACCACATGATTACATTATATCGCATATCACATGATTACATTATCATGTCACATATCACATGATTACATTATCATATCACATATCACATGGAAGAATAAGATGCGTCGTGCAGCTAGATCCAGTGGAGAATATCATTCTGATGAGTAGCCTATACTTACGTCTGTTGTTGTTGTGACGTAACTTGTACATATTTTACTAGTTAGACTTTTTCCAAACCATGATTCCTGACTAAATGTATAATCAAGTGAAACATTATGAAGATTCATTCACTGCATATATGTCTCACAATGCCAGGAAGTTTTTTTTTATGTTCTATAAAATAGACAGCAACGATATAAAAGTAATGTGAGTTATAATGTTAATATTGTTGCACTCCACTACGGGAAAAGAGGAGAACCGACACGAAATGCAGTGAAGCGCCACCCTGAAAGGTGTCTTTATTCAAGCAGTGCAAATTTTAGGTGCAATCGACCTCAGTCTCTGTGTCTCGTGCAGGTGAAGAATTCTGGGGTGAGTAGAGCAGTTCCTCCTGGCTCAGCCGACAGAGAGAGGGGGGGAAGTTAGCCAAACAGGTGGAGGCTCCACCCTCGCTTGAGGCAGTCAGTCGCTTTCTAGATAAAGAAAAGACACAGAGGTTAGCCATGCACCCACTGAGAGTCCATACTACTCCCCTTTCCTCTTCCTTGCTGGCGTTTATATTTCCCTCTAAGTGATTGCCTCATTGTCATCAGCTGGGATCGCCAGGTGTCCTCCATAATTAGCATTGCCAGGGGTGACGAGTGGGGAGCAAGCACTATCTCGTCACATCCCCCCACCCCTTTGCCTGCAGGTAGGCCTCCTGTGAGCAGATGAGGTTTTTAGTACATGGGAAGTGGGGGTGGGAAAAACCTTTACCAGACCTGACCAGCCAGAGAACATCCTGGAGAGTCCATCAGCATTGCCATTCGTGGAACTGGCTCTGTGTTTGACCACGAAGTGGAAATCTTGAAGAGCCAGGAACCATCTGGTGATTCTAGCATTGCTGTCCTTTGCCCTTGCCATCCACTGTAGAGGGGCATGATCTGTCACTAGGGTGAAGGAACGACCTAGAAGATAGTACCGGAGGTCCTCGACAGCCCATTTTATGGCCAGGGCCTCCTTCTCAACCGCCGCATACCGTGTTTCAGCTGGTTTAAGTTTACGGCTGATGAAGGTTACCGGATGTTCTTCCCCCTGGACCACTTGAGACAGTACCGCTCCTAGGCCTGTGTCAGAGGCATCTGTTTGGAGTATGAAAGGCAGGGAGAAGTCCGGGACATGTAGCACTGGCGTTGTAGTCAGCGCTGTTTGCAGTCTTCGGAAAGCTCTTTCGGTTGTAGAATTCCACTGTACTTTGTCCGGTTGGCCCTTCTTCGTCAGGTCTGTGAGGGGGCAAGCCAGAGACGAGAAATCCGGAATAAAACATCGATAATAACCAGCTAAACCTAGGAAGGCCCGTACCTGTTTCTTTGTAGTGGGTTGGGGATACTCCCTGATGGCCTTTACTTTTCCCTCTTGCGGTTCAATCAGTCCCCTTCCGATTCGATACCCAAGGTACCGTGCCTCTGAAAGTCCCAGATGGCATTTCTGAGGGTTAGCCGTTAGTCCAGCCTGACGGAGGGCAGTAAGCACTCCCCTCAGGCGAAGTACATGATCCTCCCAGCTTTCAGAGTGGACGACCACATCATCCAGATAAGCAGCTGCATAGGCCTGATGTGGTCGGAGCACTCGATCCATCAGCCTTTGGAAAGTGCCTGGTGCCCCGTGCAGGCCGAAAGGTAGGACCCGGTAATGCCAATGTCCTGAGGGAGTACTGAAGGCGGTTTTCTCTTTTGCCGAAGGGGAGAGGGGTACTTGCCAGTAACCTTTTCTTAAGTCCAGTGTGGATATATACCGAGCCCTACCCAGACGTTCAATGAGCTCGTCTACTCGAGGCATGGGGTAGCTGTCAAACTTCGACACTTCATTTAGCTTACGAAAGTCGTTGCAGAAGCGGTAGGTGCCATCAGGCTTAGGGACTAGCACAATCGGGCTAGACCATGGGCTGGAGGAAGGTTCGATGACTCCCAATTGAAGCATTTTGTTCACCTTCTCTTCAATGGCTTGCCGACGAAATTCGGGGATTCTATAGGGCCGCTGCCGGACTGTGATGCCGGGGGGGGGGCTGGATGTCATGGGACAGGGTGCGAGTGCGCCCAGGAAATTGGAAAATACATCACGGAAGCTTCGGACCAAAGCTTCCAGTTCTTTCTTTTGGTGTGGGCCGAGCTGTGGATTCAGGTCTACCACTGGGTCATCTTTGTCTGCCATCAAGGTCACCGCCGGCCGTTCCGGAACCCACTGCTTTAAAAGGTTAATATGATATATTTGTTCACCTTTTCGTCTCCCAGGTTGGCGAAGCCTGTAATTTACGGGTCCGACTCTTTCAACGACGGGGTATGGGCCCTGCCAGGAGGCAAGGAATTT